TAATAGATTGGATTTGAGTAGGCATTCTTATTTTCCCACAAAACATTCTTGAGATATTCTTCCGCATGCATTTACACAAATTTTCGGTATTCTTGATTTGTTATTGATATATATATTTCTCATGACAAAACATTTTCATATCATTTATCTATGTTCTTCAAATTTATTTTCATGAATATTTATTGATAAAATTGATATATAGCAAGCGATAAGGAATGTTATTTTGCGTTCGGTTATCAGTCAAAAACGAAAGTCATGTGGGTAGAAATGTCTGTGGCAACAATACACCAGAATGACCTCATGGTCATCCGATGTAATAAGTTGAAAGAACTATTGCACCATAATAACAAGTGTTCTAATTTAAATAAGGAATTCATATATGAAAAATTGTAGAATTTATCAGAATATTCAATAAGATTTATACTCACACTTTTGGTTTTTGATCAGTGTATTTTACAAAAATTTGAAGAACATGAAAATACTCAAGAATCCTTTTACAATAATAAGTGTTTTACTGGTCTTAAGTCATACCAATTTTTTGTCTAGCCTGCGACTTTTGTCGCAGAAAGCTCGACATAGAGATAGTGATCCGGCAGCGGCGGCGGCATTAGCTAACTTCTTAAAAGCTTTATATTTTCCAAGGTGGAAGACCTGGATGCTTCATACTTTGTATATAGATGCCTTATGCTATGAAGTTTCTATCTGTCATATGTCTATTGTCCTTGACCTCATTTTCATGGTTCAGTGATTACTTGAAAAAAAAGTTTAGATTTTTTGTAATGTTAATTTCTCTCTTATTATGAGTAATAGAATAAATATATTTAATATGTGCATACCTCGCAAGGTCCTCATGCCCATCATACAGTTTTCATCTGACCTTGACCTCATTTCATGGATCAGTGAGCAAGGTTAAATTTTAGTGGTCAAGTCCATATATCAGATACTATAAGCTATAGGTCTTCTATATTTGGTGTATGGAATGATTGTAAGGTGTACATGTCCAACTGGCAGGTGTCATCTGACCTTGACCTCATTTTCATGGTTCAGTGGTTAAAGTTAAGTTTTTGTGTTTTGGTCTTTTTTTCTAATACTATATGCAATAGGTCAACTATATTTGGTGTATGGAAATATTTTACAATGGTCATGTCAGTCTGGCAGGTTTTATTTGACCTTGACCTCATTTTCACGGTTCATTGCTCAGCGTTAAGTTTTTATACGACCGCAAAAAAATTTTTGTGGTCGTATATTGGTATGACGTTGGCGTCGGCGTCGTCGTCGTCGTCCGGCGTCGTCGTCCGAATACACATTAGTTTTCGCACTCTAACTTTAGTTTAAGTGAATGGATCTCAATGAAATTTTACCATAAGGTTCAATACCACAAAAGGAAGGTGGGGATTGATTTTGGGGGTTATGGTACTAACAGTTAAGGAATTAGGGGCCAAAAAGGGGCCAAAAATAAGCATTTTTGTAACTTCCAGACATAACTTGTGTGTAAGTATATGGATCTCTCTGACATTGTACCACAAGGTTCCATATCACAAAGGGAATGCTGGGATTGATTTTGGGGGTAATTGCCTCCAAATTTTAGGAATTAGGGGCCAAAAAGGGGCAAAAAACAAGCATTTTTCTAGTTTCATGACAATAACTTGTGTGTAAGTGTATGGATCTCTCTGACATTGTATCACAAGGTTCCATATCACAAAGGGAATACTGGGATTGATTTTTGGGGGTAATTTCCTCCAAATTTTGGGAATTAGGGGCCAAAAAGGGGCAAAAAACAAGCATTTTTCTAGTTTCAGGACAATAACTTGTTTGTAAGTGTATGGATCTTTATGAAATTGTACTGCAAGGTTCCATATCACAAAGGGAAAGCTGGGTTGGAGTTTGGGGGTAATTGCCCTAAACGTTTAGGAATTAGGGGCCAAAAAGGGACAAAAAAACAAGCATTTTTCTAGTTTCCAGACAATAACTTGTGTTCAAGTGAATGGATCTCTCTAAAATTGTACTGCAAGGTACCATACCACAAAGGGAAAGCTGGGATTGAGTGTGGGGGCGATGAATCATAAGGGGGTTCAAAAAATTTGGGGGGGGGGATTTTTTTTTCCTTTTTTTTCTTTAAAATTTTCCATTTTAAATTGGTTATTTCTGATTTATATATAAAAGCAAATAATAATGATATGGTTTGAATAGCATACATGTGAACCTCCCGACAGGAGTACAATAATCCTGTTTTCAGGAGTCTCCTCCCGACCTCCGGTTGAAGAGGAAAATTATAATCCCGTGTATGAAATTTTTCATGAATGAAAAATTTCTGCCCAACATATCATCTCAGGCATCTGGTGTAACTCACATTACCTGAAGTTATATTTTACCTGTAAATCAATTAACATGCATAATTATATGGCTTCACTTGTCAGCTTGGGTGTCAAACATACTGGTAATCAATGATTTTTTACCTCAGGCTAACTGCCGTTGTGTAACAAAAACTGTATTTATTGGGTTACTTCCCTTGATTTATCCTGTTTTAAGTTACTTTCCTTTTAATAATGAAAATTTTTAAAAGAATATAAATAAAATATAAATTGAACAAATAATCATAAAAGGATGGTAAATAAATGATTTTAAATGTCTTAGGACAAATAAAAAAATAATAATTTGAAAATTATTTGAGGATTCTATACTTCCTTTCAAGGCTTAAATTGAAATTTATATATTAACTATGACCCTTGTTTTACAGTTAGAATGATTTTCTGAGTATGCAAACAAAAGCTATTTGCAGATGGTTAAACAAATGTTCTGGTTGCAATAAATGTTTTATAGAATATGAAGTAAAAAATTTAAAGAACATACTGAAAAAAAAAAATGTTAGATTGAACATGTAAAATATAAAGATGGAGAAACTTTATAAGTACAAGGGTACTATAAACATAATAAATTGGATGGAAAGTTGAAGAAAACACACTTTAAAAGACCATTTTTACAGCACACGGTTACATTTACGACAAATTTATGTCGATTAAAAACCTCCTGATCTGAGTCCTAATCTCCTGATCTGAGTTTCACAGTCCATCACATGTATGAATAGGTAAATTAAAAAATTATAAGTTCTTAGACCACTTTCATTCTGTGTCAGAAACCTATGCTGTGTCAAATATTTAATTACAATCCAAATTCAGTGCTGTATCAAGCTTGAATGTTGTGTCCATACTTGCCCCAACTGTTCAGGGTTTGACCTCTGAGGTCGTATCAAGCTGCGCCCCAGCGGAGCATTTTATTGTGTTTTGGTCTGTTTTTCTTAAACTATAACCAATAGGTCAACTATATTTGTTGTATGGAATGATTGTAAGGTGTATATGTCTGTCTGGCAGGTATCATCTGACCTTGACCTCATTTTCATGGTTCATTGGTCAATGTAAAGTTTTCATGGTTAAGTTTGTTTCTTAGATACTATAAGCAATAGTTCAACTATATTTAATGCATAGATTGATTGTAAGGTATACATGTTTTTCTGGCATGGTTCATCTGACCTTGACCTTATTTTCATTGTTCATTGGTCAATGTTTAGTTTTCCTGTTTAAGTCTGTTTCTTAGAAGCTATAAGCAATAGGTCAACTATATTTGGTGTATTGAATGATTGTAAGGTGTACATGTATTTCCGGTTAAGTTTATGTGATACTTTTAGTAAAGCTTTATATTTAGGACTATCAACATAAAATCAATGGTCAGTAAAGAAGGCGAGACATTTCAGCGTGTGCACTCTTGTTTGTCAAAAATGGTAAATTCATTAATTATTATTCTTTGCATAAATCTACATGCAGTAATAACCAGAAGTGATATCATTAGTCTTTATGAGATCCAAACAATTTAAAAGGAGTAAAAATAATATTCTTTTTAGTTTAGTTCATTCTCATATTTCATAGAGATACATATCAAACACTTTCGTGGCATGCAAGGTTAAATAAACAAGAAAGGTCATTATAGAAATGCTTTATGTGTATACAAGATGTGATTTATCAGAAAAATTCAAATATATTAAATTTGAAGAATTGCTGTAGGTTTCAATGTGTCATTTTAATGTCAGAATGTGGCTTTTGTGTACCTAGGACAAACCACTTTACACCTGGTAAATGAAGACAAACAAAAATAACTTTAGAAAAGTGCTTTATTGTCAGATTCGTGCTGACACAAAAAATGTGGTTTGACCTGTACTATTGAGGGTCAAGAGAGAAAAATATTGTGGATTCATTATTATTCGTGGGATACAAAATTTCATGGTCTTCATAGGTAAAGGTGAACCACACATTTAAATGTTGAACAAAGTACACATTTTCTATAGGTGTGATTGCAGACTTTGAATGGTTTTACACTAGTCATTTTTGGGGCCTTTTATAGCTTGCTGTTCGGTGTGAGCCAAGGCTCCATGTTGAAGACCGTACTTTGACCTATAATGGTTGACTTTTATAAATTGTTTGGAAATTTATGGAGAGTTGTCTCATTGGCACTCATACCACATCTTCTTATATCTATTTGACAAAAAATTATATATATATTCATGAAAATTCGATTTTTCCTCAATCCACGAAAATTGCTATTCATGAAAATAAATGAATCCACAGTAGTGTAAATAAAAACTGGTAAGCCGAACATACATTTGACATATATCCTGGAAGAATCTGTAGCTTTTCATAAAATATCTGACCAATTAGAGATCAAATTGATTTTAAGTTCTCCTGAAATAAAATTCATAACTAAAGATTGAAATTTCTTTAGATATTTTGAATATGGCTTCAATGTGCACACTTTTATACAATGATTTAAAATTGCTGGAGCTGTTTTGGGGGGAGGGGGTTAAAGTAATGTGCTCGGCAAGGATCAGCACTTCCTGCTTCACTATTGACACTCCCATTAAAAAATGTTGAAATAAACATGATAAATCAGATGTTTTCCTGTAAGATTTAAAATGAACAGTAAATTAAACCAGTCTTATTTCTCAGAAATGTTTAATTGATTATTGGAATGGTTTCAGGAGTGTTCTTTGAAATAAAAGCATGGTAGTACAATTAAATTTGTTGTGAAATGGTATTATCCAGCGGATGGTGGCCATGGGTAAAGTTAAGGGAAAACTGCTAAACAGATCAGAACTTTGAAAACTAATATGTGAGTTGAAAAGTGTTTTAACTTTATGAGAAAGTGACAATTATTTTACCTTAATTTTAAAAATGGAAACTTTTATTCTCCATTTTGTACTTTTAAAAGAACAGGATATATATATATATTGCTGTGATCTAGTTAATAAAATTCTTTTCAATTTTGATTTACCCCATTTTCAGGAAAAAGGAGTGATATAAACAGAAAACATGATTTGGAAAATATCTGTTAGTGGTGAAATTATTTGACTTAAAAAGTTCGTGTGAAGTCAGGAGGACATTTACCTTTCCTTCATATCTGCAATCTTTGACCACATTTATATTTGTCAATTTGAAAACATGTTGTTTATTTATTCTGATTGTACCAGATGGCCTTTAGTTTTAACCACAAGGCTGTCTGGGTTAATATTAAATGAAGTGTAACTCCTCTTAAAGTGTTTGTCATTCTTAAAATGTGGACAAACAAATATCTGTACTCTTACTGTTGGAAATTTGGAAGAAGTGTCCTAGTTTTGGCAGAACTTATGGAATATTTTTAAGTCTATAGTTTACCTTGCCCCTTGGGCATGTTTTAGTGATTAAATTCTCAGACTTAGATAATTATTTCACATAAATTATGTAGTATACATCTTAAATGCAGGTAGCACATAATTTAAACTCAGTCTGTTGTTATTCTTTTGAATGTAAACAATACAAGTTTTTCATTCATTACTTAGCGGTTTTCAAAAGCTAAGTCTTCATAATAAAATATCTATTTATATTGAATATGTGAGTATTATTTTTATGACAAGTGCATTGATTGCTACTGTTAATTAGTCTGTAACATTGAAACACTTTTATGTAACAATGATTATCGTCCTTGTCTTAGAAATTGTTTATTAAGTAATATTTTTACTTCTAATATATTTTGATTCAAAGATATCATGCTATAATTACAACATTGTTGACATATATATTTGAATGTTTTTTTTTTTCATTGAATCTTTTAAATCAAGTCTTTTCTCTTGATTCATTAATGTTTATTTATTTTTGTTATAATTACACGTATATTTATAGATAGTTGTCCTTGGTTTTCAAATTATTTTAAGAAATATTATTTACACAAGCTTTACCCTTGAGGAGTTGAAGGAGTTTTTCAAAACTTAACCAGGAAGCAGAAACTTGGTCTGTTAAGAATTCACTCAATGGGGAAAAAAACAGAAAATTGTATTCGTTACCTTGAGATATTTGTATTAAACAGGAGATAGGAACATCAATTATAAACTTGTAAAAGTAATAAAAGACTGTGATATTAAACTGTTTTGTTTTTCAGTTTAACAACTACATATAAAGAAATAAAGATATAAAGATGCCTCCCAGTTCGGGAGAACTATGGGGTCATCATTTGATGCCCTCAACTATTCAGGTGGACTGTTTATTGCCAACGGGGATCATCATTCAGGTGGATGTGAGCCGTGATGAAACACTTGAAAGGATTAAAGCAGATCTTTGGGTAAAGGCAAAACTTTATCCTCTTTATGAAAGACTATTAGAACCTGCATCATACATATTTGTGAGCATTACCCAAGATGCACGGAAAGAGGAGTTTTATGACGAAACAAGACGATTTTGTGATTTACGCTTGTTTCAACCTATTCTGAAAATTGTTGAACCAGTGGGAAACAGAGAGGAGAAAATGTTAAATTTTGAAATAGGTATGAATTTTTTTTTTTTTTAACTTAAAAACATCCTTAAGAACTTGATAAGTATGGCTATGGTCTAATTACAAGAAAAACAATGAAACAATGAAATAAGTATTGCAGTGTAAAAGAAACATGTAAACTTATATAAAGAACAGTTATGTGTTCCTTTAACAGGTCAGGAACTCTAGATTTCCTCACGTCAATGTGTACCTTTAACAGGTCAGGAACTCTAGATTTCCTCACGTCAGTATGTATTTGCATAGTAATTTCCCAAATAGAAGGTACATGTGGCTTTGAAAAACTGACCAATCGACTCAATGAACAGCAATGCATTGTGGGCTACTACGAGTTTACTACCACTTAAAACAAGTGGAATTAGTGGGAAAACTGTCAACTTATATAGTGTCTTGGACTCTCATGATAAATATTTTTGTTCAGCCAATAAATTAAATGTAAAATATATAACATAACCTTCAATTTGCATGCTCAGATTAAAAGAATATTGTTTATTGGTTACACAAATTGACTTTCTTTTTCGCCTTGTAAAAGTTGTTGAACAGGTTTTGTCCATTGTTATGCATTGTACCTGTGCATTAATTTAACGTGAAATAATGAAATTTCCAATGAAATGACCAATGTCCAGTATAAAAATCATTTGAGCTCTTTGAAACCTGTCAAAGCCATTTGAAGGAATGGGTTACATGCCTCTCTATACAATATATATATGCTCTTGGATTTTTTTTGTATCCTGTATAATGCCATTAAAAAACACTGCTGCTTGGAAAAACACAAAAAAATTGTGTTATTAAAAGTGGTGACGTTAAATAGCTTAACATATTTTGTACACTTTCATCCGTTGATGAAGTCGTCTGTTGCCAATTTTATCCCAAAATACCTTTATCAATAAAAGCGGAACCAGTCCATTACAGACTTACACCTGGCCGTTATGAATGAGCTGCGCCATTCTGAACGAAATGAGCCATTATGGATTTTGAGTTGTTATCAATTTAAATACATATTATGGGAAAATAAAGTATTATGAAATTAAGAATTCTAAAGAATAAATATCTTATTTGACCCATAGGAAAAAATAATGTCTTTTAATAAAAATCTTTTTAGAATAAATTAAGATGAAAAATAGATTACAAGCCAAAATTCATTCAACTTTAATTTTTGTTCCATAAAATAGTTTTGCAAGCGGGTGTATCTTTGATCACTAGATCATCTATTTATATTTCTACCCCCACATTCATGGTAAAGCGGAGGTATGTAGTGATGGGAGTCCGTATGTCCGGCTGTCCATCCGTCTTATAGTCCGTTTGTCTGTCAGTTCGTTCTTCCTGTACGATATGTTTCACTTTTGTATCCACAACTCCAACCTCCTTAATCACTTATCATAAGGAAATTAAACCTCATATTCCTTACCATACAATGCCATTTTGCACTTCATATTTTGTTTTTGGTCAAAAATTTTTTTGGAGTTTCTATTTCTTAAACATGAACTTTGCAATTGCTTCATATGGGGTACCCATATTGTATCCACAACTCCTCCTAAACCACTTATCATGATTTGATGAATCTTTCTTAGAATTGTTATCAAATAAGGCCATTGTGTAACTCATATTTGGTTTAGGGTTAAAATATTTCATGGAATTCTATAGTAAATATCTCTTTTCAAGATAATGGAAAACCAATCTTTCTGAAAGGTATTTGTGTCTGTCTCTTAGAGACAAAGTAATAAATACATACACTTCCTCGATTTAAATGACTTTTGTAATCATAAAAGTAGGTACAATATCATTACATCAATTATGTGAAAAGCTGGGACATTTTAGTGACCCCAACCGATATTTGACACACATTAATTCTTCCCCTTTTTTGCGAACCCACTCAAAATTCCAGGATCTCTTATTTTTATACGACCGCAAAAATTAAAAATTTTTTGGTCGCATATTGGTATGACGTTGGCGTCGTCGTCGTCGTCGTCGTTGTCGTCGTCGTCGTCGTCGTCGTCCGGCGTCGTCCGGCGTCGTCCGAAGACACATTGGTTTTCGCACTCTAACTTTAGTTTAAGTGAATGGATCTCCATGAAATTTCACCATAAGGTTCAATACCACAAAAGGAAGGTTGGGATTGATTTTGGGGGTTATGGTACCAAAGGTTAAGGAATTAGGGGCCAAAAAGGGGCCAAAAATAAGCATTTTTGTAACTTTCAGACAATAACTTGTGTGTAAGTGTATGGATCTCTCTGACATTGTACCACAAGGTTCCATATCACAAAGGGAAGGCTGTAATTGATTTTGGGGGTAATTGCCTCAAAATTTTAGGAATTAGGGGCCAAAAAAGGGGCAAAAAACAAGCATTTTTCTAGTTTCATGACAATAACTTGTGTGTAAGTGTTTGGATATTTCTGAAATTGTACTACAAGGTTCCATATCACAAAGGGAAAGCTGGAATTGAGTTTGGGGGTAATTGCCCGAAACGTTTAGGAATTGGGGGCCAAAAAGGGGCCAAAAATAAGCATTTTTCTAGTTTACAGACAATAACTTGTGTTCAAGTGTATGGATCTCTCTGAAATTGTACTGCAAGGTACCATACCACAAAGGGAAGGCTGGGATTGAGTTTGGGGGTGATGAATCATAAGGGGGTTCAAAAAATTTGGGGGGGGGGATTTTTTTTTTTTTTTTTTTTCTTTTTTTCCTTTTTTTTTTCTTTTAAAATTTTCCATTTTAAGTTGGTTATTTCTGATTTATATTTAAAAGCAAATAATAATGATATGGTAGGAGATACACACCAAACAGGATGTGTAAATTATTATATAATAAGTATTGTGAAATAGCAAGAAATTTTCAATTGCACAGTATTGCACAATAGCAAGAAATCTTCAATTGCACAGTATTGCGCAATAGCAAGAAATCTTCAATTTAACAGTATTGCGCAATAGCAAGAAATATCCAATAGCACAATATTGCGCAATAGCAAGAAATTGTCAATTGTACAGTATTGCGCAATAGCAAGAAATATTCAATTGCACAGTATTGTGCAAAAGAAGATACTTCGTATAAATTGCTTATTTCTTGATCAATTTCAATGGGGTTTTATTCTTGAATTCTTGGGGTTCTTTAATATGCTGAATCTAACCGTGTATTAAGTTTTTGGATTTTGGGCCCCGTTTTTAAATTGGTCCACATTGAGGTCCAAAGGGTCCAAAATTAAACTTTGTTTGATTTCATCAAAAATTGAATTATTGGGGTTCTTTGATATGCCGAATCTAACCGTGTATTTAGATTTTTAATTTTGGGTCCCGTTTTTTAAATTTGTCTACATTAAGGTCTAAAGGGTCCAAAATTAAACTTAGTTTGATTTTAACAAAAATTGAATTCTTAGGGTTCTTTGATATGCTGAATCTAAACATGTGTTTAGATTTTTGATTATGGGCCCAGTTTTCAAGTTGGTCCAAGTTGGGGTCCAAAATTAAACTTTGTTTGATTTCAACAAAAATTGAATATATGGGGTTCTTTGATATGCTGAATCTTACCATGTATTTAGATTTTAGATTTTTGGCCCAGTTTTCAAGTTGGTCCAAATTGGGGTCCAAAATTAAACTTTGTTTGATTTCAACAAAAATTGAATATATGGGGTTCTTTGATATGCTGAATCTTACCATGTATTTAGATTTTTTATTTGTGGGCCCGCTATCAAATTGGTTCATATTGAGGTCAAAAGGGTCCAAAATTAAACTTTGTTTGATTTCATCAAAAATTGAATTATTGGGGTTCTTTGATATGCCAAATCTAACCGTGTATTTAGATTTTTAATTTTGGGTCCTGTTTTTTAAATTGCTCTACATTAAGGTCCAAAGGGTCCAAAATTAAACTTAGTTTGATTTTAACAAAAATTGAATTTTTGGGGTTCTTTGATATGCTGAATCTAAACATGTGTTTAGATTTTTGATTATGGGACCAGTTTTCAAGTTGGTCCAAGTTGGGGTCCAAAATTAAACTTTGTTTGATTTCAACAAAAATTGAATATATGGGGTTCTTTGATATGCTGAATCTAAACATGTATTTAGATTTTAGATTTTTGGCCCAGTTTTCAAGATGGTCCAAATTGGGGTCCAAAATTAAACTTTGTTTGATTTCAACAAAAATTGAATATATGGGGTTCTTTGATATGCTGAATCTTACCATGTATTTAGATTTTTTATTTGTGGGCCCGCTATCAGATTGGTTCATATTGAGGTCAAAAGGGTCCAAAATTAAACTTTGTTTGATTTCATCAAAAATTGAATTATTGGGGTTCTTTGATATGCCAAATCTAACTGTGTTTTTAGATTTTTAATTTAGGGTCCCGTTTTTTAAATTTGTCTACATTAAGGTCCAAAGGGTCCAAAATTAAACTTAGTTTGATTTTAACAAAAATTGAATTCTTCGGGTACTTTGATATGCTGAATCTAACACATGTTTAGATTTTTGATTATGGGACCAGTTTTCAAGTTTGTCCAAGTTGGGGTCCAAAATTAAACTTTGTTTGATTTCAACAAAAATTGAATATATGGGGTTCTTTGATATGCTGAATCTAACCATGTATTTTGATTTTGGACATTGGACCATAATAGGTAAATTAAAAAAATTGAAGTTCTAAGACCACATTCTTTCTGTGTCAGAAACCTATGCTGTGTCAAATATTTAATCACAATCCAAATTCAGAGCTGTATCAAGCTTGAATGTTGTGTCCATACTTGCCCCAACTGTTCAGGGTTCGACCTCTGCGGTCGTATCAAGCTGCGCCCAGCGAAGCATTTTATTGTTTTTTAACTAACTCAGTGAATTCAAAGTTCATCTTATGGGTAATTGAGTTTTTCACTGTTGTTTTGTTGCTGTCTTAAGCTTGTGGACGAATATCTGAAATCTTCGTTTAATCATCAGTAATATTAATGGCTATATTTTGGGTAATTCAAGCACTCATTTCTTCACATAGAAACAACTATTCGAATCTGAGCATGGAAAGAATACTTTATATCACGAACTATAAATGTGGATAAAAAGTTGAAAAACAAAACAAAATTGTTTATCCTGCAATGCATGAAAAAAATGTGGTGTAATACAGTAACTAACACATGTTCTCAGTTGATGGTAAACACGTAGTAGTCCATCATGCATTGTTACCCATTTATTGGATTGGTCAAAAACCCAGGTAAAGAAAAACGCGTCATACTTAAATAAACAATTATATAATTTGCGAGGACATTATAGTATACTAATTTATGCATACCCATACACGGAAGCGTTCCCGACCTGTTTAAAGAGGTGACATTTGAATGTCAAAGGTTAAATTAATGGCAATACACAGCCATATAATCTATAATTAGCTAATTCAGATTCTAAAGGACTACCGGTAATTTCGTTCTATCTTTGATTGATTGTTGATGTTTAACACCATTTTCAGCACTCTTGTCTATTTTATTATATTGGTGGAGGATGCTGGAGTCCCTGAAGTGAACCATCAAACTTTGGCAGAAAAATTACCATACTAGTCCATTGAGACGGAGTGGAATCCACCTTGCCATGATCGCGGTTTCAAACACACAACCTCTGTGTTGTCATAGGAACAGAACACTGACAAATACAATACACAAGTCACTTTTGTCATTAAATTTTCAAATGTTCTGCAAAAATATGTTTTAATAAGTTATTTGAGGTGTTGTACATGTATCTTTCTTTTATATTCAGAGTAAATTGCTAACCGCTTTAGTTTATTTACCAACAGGTGTAACCATAGGTGTTTCTATAAATGAATTTAATGAAATGAAAGACTTAGAAGTGATGACATTCCGGAGGAATATTTTAGATATTTGTAAGAATGCAATAGAAGAGCGTCAGCGACGGGGTAAGGCAAGCGAGGCCTTATATGCCTACCCACCAGATATAGAATCATCACCCATTTTACCATCACATTTACAGACAAAAATTAAAGAAATGAGTAAGTATTTAGGTATTTCACTTTCTAAGCATTTTTTAAAAAAATTTTGTGTTTATATTTTGAAAGCATATTATAAAAAAGAAGTTCAGTAATTGTCAGTGGGACAATAGAAAGATGAAGCATATTTGTAGGTGGAGTGACAAGATGTAAGAAAATAAGAGTAGAATAAAGTCAAAGTCTGAAAGTCACCTGGTGGTCTTCAACAAATCTAAGCTGTATGGTGAAACTCTAAAACCCCTGAAACCCAAAAAACATTCCTTAAGACGAATAACACAAGCCTTGTTATAATCATTAATAAATGAAGAAGAACAAAAATTTGCACCAAAATAAGAAAGTATCTGTATGACATTCGGTTTAATATTTAAGAAATAAATACATTTAGAATGCTAATACACAATTGTTATACACAAACTTTTTCTATTGAAGAGCCGTAACCAAATTTGATTTTTGCAAGAATTGTCTAAGGTTTCCTGTCTACCGTTAACCTTTTTAATTCAAAACAAATACATTGTTGTCTCGCCTCTATGAGGTAAAGAAGGCAAGACTTAGGCTTGCTGTATGCAGAGGAGTCAACAATGTAATAAATTTGTGAATTGGTCAGTTTAAGGGAACCACTAGCATGACTAGTTGTAGGCCAATGATATTTGGCATTTAGTTGTATTAGCATTTGGCACAACTCATTTCCATGGGGATTATTTGGCCTTGCCCCCTCGGTCATGGGTCTATTGACTGATCTTTTGCAAAGTTTACTGAAAAGGTTGGTATAAAGGAACGACTTATGGTAAGTCAATATTTGTTATGCAGTTGTTTGAGCATTTGAATTCTCTTTTCCAGGGAGATTAGTGGGCTGTGCAACTCAATCATGGTTCATTGACTTGAATGTTTTGTATAGTGTGCATGTTAAAGTATTGCCATTTTAATTTCAACATTTACAATTTATACTATCAAAATAACTATCTGGCGAGACATATCTCTGTGTCAACAGTTTATTTTTGTACCTCAGGTATACAACAGGCATATCGGAATGAGTCAAATATAAAAGAGGAAACAAAAATTGTTATTGATGGTAACTAGCATGTACTGTACTTTAACATGGTATGAACCAAACAAGACTTTCATGTTTATCAGTGGCATGCATTTTGTATGTCTTGCTTATTTGTTGTTTGTTACATCTTAAGGCAAAAAATTACTTATGCAAAAATTAGTAAATTTATTTACAAAACTTAAATGATCTCGTAAAATGAGGTTCATGTAACGACTTTACATACAGTTCTTACTTTTGAGTCTAATTTGAATAAATGTATGATCATCTATGCATGTTCTCATTAAACATGTATGCACTTACATAAATTTCAGAAAATGATGTAGTAGCGTGTGTTTGGGTTGTATCAGAAGACAATAGTCGTAGTAAATTTAGTGTAAAAGTTTCACATGACTCTTATCCAATTGATGTTATTGCGGGAACAATACGGCGGAGAAGCAGAATGATGGGAATTTCTAAGGAACACGCTGAACGTTGTATAGAAGAATATAGTGACACTTATGCACTTAAAGTGTGTGGTTGTGATCAGTTCTTATTAGAGGAGCATCCATTAAGTCAGTATAAGGTTAGTGTCATGTGATCAGTTCTTATTAGAGGAGCATCCATTAAGTCAGTATAAGGTTAGTGTCATGTGATCAGTTCTAATTAGAGGAGCATCCATTAAGTCAGTATAAGGTTAGTGTCATGTGATCAGTTCTTATTAGAGGAGCATCCATTAAGTCAGTATAAGGTTAGTGTCATGTGATCAGTTCTTATTAGAGGAGAATCCGTTAAGTCAGTATAAGGTTAGTGTCATGTGATCAGTTCTTATTAGAGGAGAATCCGTTAAGTCAGTATAAGGTAAGTGTCATGTGATCAGTTCTTATGAGAAGAGCTTCCGCTAAGTCAGCATAAGGTTAGTGTAATGTGATCAGTTCTTATTAGAGGAGCATCCAGTAAGTCAGTATAAGGTTAGTGTCATGTATTATAATGGACATATTCTTAAATTTGAAGTGAATTTTTGACAAGATAAAAAAATGGAAAATGTCACTTCATGCAATAATAATGGATGAAAAAATATGAAATATGATACAGAATTTTTAAATGCACTGTATATTATAGACTATCTAGGGAAATTTTCTGGATTTTAAAGATGCATAACCAAAAAATTTCATAAAATGTGTAAGATTTGGCATGAAAAATTAGGGCAGGAAGGAAGCCAGGAAACAGAACTATATTTTTGTTTTGCCTAATCAAACTGTAATTCAAACATTTATATGATATATTTCAGTATGTGAGAGAATGTATAGCAAGAGATAATATACCACAGTTTATGTTATTAACAAAGGAAAGTTTATATGCAGCGATATCACCTAATGTATTTATAACACCATCATATACACAGAAAGGTAAGTACCAATTTAACGTATGAAGTTTGCTATAAACAGCCAATAAGATTTTGATTCATAAACTTTTATGTGTGGGCATTTTTGTATACAGATAATATGGACCAAGATGGAAGTCTCTTGCAGCATGACATGTTGACCTGTAATTAGATTTACTGGTCCTTCTTTCAAACAATATATCATGAATACTTTGGATTAATTTCATTGCATCAATTTTGGTTCGTCTTTTCTTGTTTTTACTTCAGAAATTTTCTTTTTCTCAAGAACAAAATCATTTAATGGCCAATCTCAACTTACAAAAATATTCTATTTCTCTATCACTAAAAAACAAATTGTAATTTTGTGGGTTTTATTTCTCTAGAAACTTTAACCAATACCAAATTCAACTATTAACATTTAATTTTATTTTGTTTACAGGTATGCAGTTATTGACAGAAATCAACCAACAAAAGACACTATCCCTGTGGGAAATTCATGCCAAACTGAGAATAAAAATATTATGTGCCACTTATGTCAATGTAAAAGAACTTGGAAAGGTAGATTACATTTAATAGAAGATTTTTTATGCCCCACCTACGATAGTAGTAGGGACATTATGTTTTCTGGTCTGTACGTTTGTCCGTTTGTCCCGCTTCAGAAAGTATTTGGTCAAGGTAGTTTTTGATGAAGTTGAAGTCCAATCAACTTCTACTTGTTGCAAGTCATTTAATCACACTGTAGGAAGATTTCACCTTTTATTTATGATTATTTTATACTGTGAATTCAGACATCTTTGCTTGTATTTATTACATGTATCGCAATTGTTGAACTATGGATAAAAATGTGAGCTTATTTATTGTAAATTCAGGACGCACTACAAGCAACTAATGTGTTTAAATTTAAAATGCCAGTGTTTATTTGTGCAAAACCCATCATGTCTCAATTTTTGCAACAATAAAAACTTTGCAAACATTATAAATTTACAGTATTCTGAAAAGTTTATTTTTAGGAATACTCAAAAAAAAATTCCTGCATTTATAATTTGAATAAAAAAACATATTCTTTATTAATTAGCATACAACTTTAACATGAAGCTTACCAATTAAGTCAAGTTTTGAAAAAAGGTTTTAACATAATTTTCTCACTATTAACTTCTTATATCTTGGTTTTAGATATATGTTAAAGCAGGAATTTACCATGGAACAGAAGCTTTGTGTGAATTCCAAGATACAAAATTGGTTGACTCAAACAATCCCCAGTGGCATGAATGGTTAGAGTTTTTGTACATACAGGATTTACCTAGAAGTGCTAAACTCTGTTTATCTATATGCTATACATCCAAGAAAAGGAGGGTAGGTTTCCTTTCTCTTGTTTAGTGTTCACATTTGCATCCTAAATACGATAAAAATTTAGAGTTCTGGATTTCAACCACATTTAGGCCTAAGAAACATATAACACTGGGTTTGAAAAACTAAATAGAGATTCACCTGATTTTATTGAATTCCAGGAAAATCAAAATTAGTACTGTTTGTAATGAAATGAATGCTAATATGTAAATTTTCAATCTATTTCCTGTCTACTGATTGTTTAGTTTCATGAAATTGTCTCTGATATCAATTTTATTACTGTCACAGTGAAATATGAAAATTTTGATAGGGAAAATAGTGGTGCCAGAACTATCACCAGCAGCCATATTTTGTTGCAAGATGAAATTAAAATTCGCAACATTGGCGAAGCCTAATAAAGTAATATATGTATTTAACTTTTCAGGAACCCTTATCTTTAGGATGGGCAAATCTGCAGCTATTTGATTTCAATGATAGACTTATGAATGAAAAAGTTAGCTTGAATCTATGGCCGTTACCTCAGGGAATGGATGACCTGTTGAACTATGTTGGTCTACCAGGTAAAGAAACTATAAGAAATTGATACGAAACCACTGTTGTATTTTGTATATCATATTCATTAAGAAATTTATAGCTTTCTTTGTTAACTCTGTAATAAGAAAATTTGATAGATTGATATTTGGGATGATAGATTGATTGATGTTTGGTTGTTAAACATCCAGTGAGTATATTCATACATATGTGGACATTCATAGATTAACATTATATCAGTTCATAGGATAGTAAATAAAGAAAAGCAGAATATTTTGAATGCCACCTCTTGTCAGTAATTTATCTTTACAACAATTTACATTAAGTCACATTGGATTTTTCAAGCTTATTGTTAGATCCAGGATTATAAATATGGAAGAACGGAAGGGAAGGCCAGATGAGCCCATTGACAAAAAAGGTTGAAGGGCAGTCAAATATCGGAATATTCTACTGAAAGAACAAAACATTTACCGTAAGATTGGGTCCGCTTAGCCAGCCCATGAATATGCTCCTGAAGCTAAATTGAATACTTAAATATCCTAATCATATTCCAGCAGTGTACAGTGGAATAGTATCCTTCAAATTACTGCTAATGAGATAGTTGGGTCAATAACTTCTTCTTAGTATCAGCCTCCTTTAATTAGGAGCACCTCCAAATATATATGGAGTTTTGCCTTAACTTTAAAATTTAAAAGGATAAAACAAAAATGTTCTATTTCCAACATATGTACAGCACATATAAATAAACAATAAAAGTGTCATGCAAGGCATATTTACATGGACCTTTTTGTTATAAATTAATCTACCATACAAGTAGATTCACTTATGTATGTATCTCAGTTTTATTTATAATTAAAAATATGTTTCATTTGTTTCATTTCATGACTGTTGCTGCTGAATCTAAAGCTCCAGGATAATTTTTTTATGTTGAATGAAATCTGTACAATATTGAAAATGGTGGTAATAGAAAAGACTTACAATCTTTGACATCGCTAACAATATGGATCATAGAGATTTATATGTTTACATTCTACCTAAATACTGTGGAGTCATTATTATTTGCAAGGTTTACATTTTCATGGATTTAGGTGGACAATGAATTGAAGTGTTCATCAAAATACATATTTCTAATAGGTTTATTTACAGATATGTCCAAACCATGAAATGAGGTATCAAGGTCAAACAGTTTTTCATCAATTTATAAAATTAGTATCAACCAAAAAAAAAAAGGAATCTACAGTTTATGTTTTTATTGGAAGTCATTCATAATTAATATATACATTTTTTAATTGCTTCCTGGTTTTCTTACTGGTCATTTCATTCAAAATTGTACATTTCCATAAATGATTTGTTTACTTTTAGGTTCCAATCCAGACCAAGAAACCCCATGTTTAGAGATAGAGTTTGACAGACTAAGTCATCCTGTATCATATCCTCCAGAGAAACAGATAGAAGATTTAGCTCAATATGCCATCGGCAAAGAATCACCCCTCATTTATCTGGTTAGTTGATTTAAAATTTCCCCTAACAGTTGATTCATCAGTTTTTCATTGGCCAAAATTTGATTATGACCACATATTTGTTTTCTTGCTTTCCTGTGATTTGACTATCCTCAATGACCATGCCTGATGAAGTTGAATAGATACAACATGATAAGTTTGCAGATCATTGGGAAAGAAAGATAAATGTTGCTGACACATCGTTTTATTAGAGAAACAGATTCCACCACCTTATCTCCTACAAAATAATATTTATGGTGGCTGAGTGGTCTGCTGTATCACTAGCCTATCAACACTGAGGTTGTGAGTTTGAACCCCTACATGTTGCAGGTGGGTTCAACTCCATTCTTATTTTACAAGGACTGTCAGTCTTCCTGCTGAAGGTCAGTGGTTCTCTCCAGGCAATTAGGCTTCCTCCACCAATAAAAACTGACCCCCATGATATAGCCAAGGCAATAGTGCTGAAAGTAGCATTAAACATCAACAAATAATCAATCATACAATACAATATTTCTAGACTACGGTCTGTTAAATTTGAAAATTTGAAATATGTCTCAGGGAAAAACTTATCTTATCACACTCTATGCAGTGGTTTGAATCTATATATACATGTACACACAATTTTGTATTTTGAAAATATTGTAGTTTTTTAGTACACTTCATTTTTGTGATCATTGTAACTTGTTTATTTTTTAGAATAAAATCAATGAAATTTAACATTGAAAGGTGACCTTATCATTATGCAGTGATGAATTAGTTATACTTTTTTTAGGACACACCACAAATACAAACAAAAGAGCGAGCCATGGTGGATGACATTACTAGTAGAGATCCATTATCTGAAATATCAGAACAAGAAAAAGATATTCTATGGAAATTAAGGTAGAAGCTTAAAAACCCTACGTAATTGAAATTTATCTATAGTTAATTAATTAACATGTTTGAAAAAAAAATAAGTAACTAGACAGAACTGAAATAATTTTAAAGTATTTTCATACAAAGAAATAAAACAGTAATAAATTTTTCATGATTGTTACAATACAATCCATGTCCAAAAATAGAAACTTCCCAGCCTACCTACCAACACTCATTATAAGAGGAACAAATTAACTGTATTAGGTTTTCTATACAAAATCATCGGAAACATTGAATTTCTCTACAAATTGCACTGATTGTAAGCTTGATTTTACTTCTTTTAGTTGCTCTTACTTGACAGAGTTCCAGAATGTCCTACCAGAGAGTAGATAACTTGTCAAAAAATTATATACTTCAGAGTCAAAAGTCAATAATATGAAAATAGTCTATTTAATATAGATATTGAAAAAAAAGTAACATATAATTTTCATGCTAAATAAAACTAACTATAAATTTAAAATTTTGATTTAAACAGAGAATACTGTATCCAAGTTCCTCAATCTTTACCTAAACTACTGCAGTCAGTAAAATGGAATGAGCGGGAGTATGTAGCTCAGCTATACATGTTGTTACGGCGTTGGCCTAGATTGATGCCCGAGTTTGCCATGGAATTACTCGATTGTTCTTACCCAGATCTATGTGTTCGACAGTATGCTGTTACCTGTCTGGACCATGGATTTTCTGATGATAAATTACAACAGTATATGTTACAGTTAGTGCAGGTTGGTTGTTAATTTTTCATACTTTATTTGCATTTTCTCAAGAGGGATACTATTTATACACTAAAATGACCAATTGCATGATAGATATTATTATTTAAGTGTATTAACTACTACGGTTTCATCGTGTGATTTTTGATTCATCTCAGTACAATCAAGTGAACATATAATGTTTATTTAATTGAACCAAGGCATACCCATATTCAGGGGTAGTCAGAGTGTCTTGACCACAAATAACCCACCTCAGAGACATCCTGAGAACAGGCCTGCAAGGTAGTTGAACTAATTGTTTACCATAAAGTCACTCCAGATAATTAGTTCAGTTTGCTTCAAGCACAGTGTACTTGGCTTTTATCCCATAGTCCATCATTTAGCTGCATTATGCTATGTCATCTAACCTACTGGCAATTTTTGTTTACATGAAAACATTCTTTCATGTCAATAAGTTCTGTAATTTCATTTTTTAGTGCGTTTATTATTGAAATTGTTGGACAAAGTACAAAAATACAAAAATAATTATTGCCATTAAATATTGTGGTGGCCTTTACAATGTTTGCACCAACATCCAATAAATCTAGTTTCTTTAAAAAAAAAAGATAGACAACATTTTAGAAGTTATACAAAAACTTCACAATAAAGCATCTAGACTAGATTGCAGAAAACAAGTTTATTTTAGATACATAGAAATATGTTTTCTCATCAAATTTTGAGAAAAGATTATATAAACAATAAACTTGGATTTTTATCAGTATTGACCTGGAATGATGATGCTAAAACTAATGTCAGCTATCCTTCAAGGAGTCAAGGATCATATTTTTTTTCTGAAAATCATTTTTTTTGTGTTACCTAGTCTTGTTAGTACTTGAAGATAAATGTCTTTGATAACTGTATGTGCCTCGCTTTTATTTTAGGCCCTGAAATTTGAGCCATATTTGGACAGTCCCATCACAAGATTTCTCCTGAAGAGAGCTCTGCAAAATCAGAAGACAGGGCAACTGTTCTTCTGGCACCTAAAGTAAGTCTCAGAAACTTGGATCCTTGGAAAATTATTTTTATGATATGAATGAAAGGAGATGTGAAGTTAATGTCAATAAGACAACAACCCAACTACAAAAGTAATCAAAAGGACATTTAGAGGGCAATATTCAGTCTTCAACAGTATACAGACGTCTATACAACATTTCAAGTTCTCAATCATCCTGAGTCCTGAGAACAGTTGCGAATAAATAATAAACAATACTATACAACAGATTTTAATTTTTTGAAATGTAACTGTACCACTAGAAAAATGACATTAAATATCTTTTGAAATTATCTGCCTTGAGTGGACAGACATTATGCTAGAACTAATAGCACTTTATTGCTGGATACTTGGGATTCGTTTATTTTAGTAAATACCAATTTTCTTTGATTGAGGAAAAATTGTATTTTTGTGGATATTTGATTTTGTGGTTTTGCCGAAGTCTGCGCACAAGTCCATAGATAAATAGTGCTTCATTGAACATTTAAATTTATGGTATGCCTATACCCAGGAAATCCATGTATAAATAATGAATCCTCAGTAGGAGCACTATTTCCACACATTATTTTTTGCTAATGCAAATATATTTTATTTATTTTACCAGGTCAGAAATTCATAATACATCAATCCAGTTAAGATTTGGGTTGGTTTTAGAAGCATTTTGTCGAGGATGTGGATCAAACCTCAAGATGTTACTCAGACAAGTGGAGGCTCTAGATAAACTCACCAAACTTACAAATATGATCAAAAATGAAGTCAAAGATGTGAGTGTTAAAAGAGAGAATAGAAATATTTGGAATATGTAAAATTAAATTCATTTTGGTGTAAGGGAATTAAAAAAGAATGAAGCAAAACATGAATAACAAAATTTTCTCAGTAGATTTTTACATTTAAAAGTTATAAATTCCAAATATTTCTAGAATTAAAGTCCATATATAAGAAGTATGGAACAAGTCTCAGAATATTTATGTAAATGAACAGGTTTGAAGACCAGATAAACTAATTTGTTTGGAAATGTTATTTTAAATGCTATAGCAGGCAAGACAAATTTGATAACAACATGTTGTACCATATATCTTAGAATCTCTCAAAATTACATGAAACTACACAAATTAAACAGCGGCTCTTTTCACAATAAATCTTGAGTAAAAATACTTGTAAGTCATACACATTTCAGTATAACTTACGATCAATTTTAATCATAAGATTTTTTTTGTGAAAAGAGTGGCAGTCTTGTTTCCTAAAGATTTTATTTTATCAAGTATAATTCAGATAGCTGATCAAGTAATGAATAATAGCAAGAATGTATGAAATGATTATTATAGTATGCAAAATTTATAAGGTACATGTAAATTTATGTATAATGCTTTTGTTTCATGCTAATAGTGGCTGAGTTTGTTTCTAATAATCAATATAAACTTTTTAATTAAAATCTATTTAATCATACTTTACAGGACATTAATGAAATTATGAAGTTTCTTGCAAACCAGTTACAGCAACCAGACTACCAAGATGGACTGAAAAATTTCTTATCTCCCCTTGATAACAGTCATATACTAGGGGATCTAGAGTAAGTCATGAACTATAGCCGAATTTGTATGCATTGTAATATCTTTCATTGATTTCAGCTGCATGAAACAACAAAAGAGATATCAGTATACTTAAATTAGACAGCAACTCAACAATACACAATAATAACAAAAATTAGAGGATGACAACATATGACTTACTGCTGTGAGGATGCTCATTCTTTATTACAGAGTATATTCTTTTGAAAAGGCAATATTTACATAAAATAGGTTCCTATGCACATCCCAATAATTCTAAGAGTAAAAAGGAATCCTCCATTAATCAAAGAAAATTCTATAGTCTTGGAAGAGTTCAGATTCTATTACACAAAGATTTTTAGAGTTATGTAAAAACATCTGTATAGTCCCTTTCTGAAATTATGGGAAAAGATTTGCTGAACAGACATAGAATAATAAATTATTTTTTTAGAAAGTAGAATTGTGGCAGGTCAAAACTCAAATTGACTACATGCAAATATGTGACACTTTTTAACTGTACAAACACATTCACTCCACAATCTGTTATGCATTCAATTTATCATTAAAATTCTCATTTGAGCTCATGTACTAAGTGCAATTATGTTTTTCTCACTTTTTCAGTATTTCCCATTGTTCAGTAATGACATCTAAAAAGAAACCATTGTGGCTAGTCTTCAGCAACCCAGATGTAATGGCTGATATATGGTTCACAGACTACAAACTTATATTTAAAAATGGAGATGGTATGTTCAAGAGTTTAATTTTTATAATTCATCACTCGTAAACAAGGTTAATGATTTTGCCATCTGATGAAAGAATGGGTGGTGATGAAAAGAACTGCACATATAATAATCAGATGAAAACTCAATGATACAAAATAACTGTCTAGTAAACAATGAAGGCTCCTGGACATCTAAGAATTTTACTGTCTTTTCAATCATAACTTACCTATTTAAAAGAATGACTTCAGGTGAAAGGGAGATAAACCAAAAAATATAAATATGCCAAAACGTTTAAACACAATTATTTCCCTTTAAATATGGCTTTTATCTTTTATTAAGCAGATTTGTATATTATTGAAAAATATTCAGTATTACTAACTTGAAATCCAAAGCAATAGTAAATTAACACTTTGAATCATTGTTAGTAAAGATTTAACAATAAACGTAAATGTTTTAGTCATCGTAATATCATAATTTAACCTTGTTCATTCTCAATGGGTAAAAAGTTCAGATAAAATATTTACCCCTCATTCAATCAAGTGCAAAGTGATAAATGAAGTTTTACTTACATTTAATTACTTACCTAATTTTGTAGTCCATCAAGATGGATAAAATAGATAGAAAATCCAGACCAGCTATCTTTGTGTACTGATCCCCATGAGAGATATTGTTCTGACTTTATTTGTTGTATTAACTGAATACTTTATAACCTGCATTCAAAGAAAGGAAAATTACATTTAAGGACATAAATACTCATACTAACTGATGTATATTAGACTATAAACAATAGTGACAAGCATAAGAGATGCACGTAGTCCTCTTGTGCTTGAAATCCCCCATGGAGATAATGAGAAGATATCTGGTATGATTGATCTGGTAATTAGAAGCAGTGGATTTGGATATTGAAGCTGGGACTGTTAAATGACTGAAATATCAGAATTAAATTAACTAAGTCCAAGAACTCAAAAATAGATGAATATTTCAACATCTTCAAGTTATTATGTGGCCCTCAACAATGCCTGAATGGGGGCAAGTATATTTCTAAGGAATATATAAAAGTTCCAGATAAACATCCAACAGTTTCTCATTATTGTCTTTGAAATCGTAATTAATCAGGAAATATTGTTTTCTCCTGTTCCATGTTTTTTTTATTTTCTTTATAAAATATCCTGTTATTAACCTTGTCAAATATATTTTTCAGATTTAAGGCAGGACATGCTTACTGTACAGTTATTTAAAATTATGGACACTTTATGGAAAAATGAAGGATTAGATCTGAGGTAAATTTTATAAGCAATAATGTTAATTTTTGTCGAGCCTGCGACTTTTGTCGCAGAAAGCTCGACATAGGGATAGTGATCCGGCGGCGTTAGCTAACTTCTTAAAAGCTTTATATTTTAGAAGGTGGAAGGTCTGGATGCTTCATACTTTGTATATGGATGCCTCATGTTACGAAGTTTCCGTCAGTCACATGTCCAATGTCCTTGACCTCATTTTCATGGTTCAGTGACTACTTGAAAAAAAAGTTAAGATTTTTTGTAATGTTAGATTCTCTCTTATTATAAGTAATAGGATAACTATATTTGGTATGTGCGTACCTCGACCTCATTTCATAGATCAGTGAACAAGGTTAAGTTTTGGTGGTCAAGTCCATATCTCAGATACTATAAGCAATAGGTCTAGTATATTCGGTGTATGGAAGGACTGTAAGGTGTACATGTCCAACTGGCAGGTGTCATCTGACCTTGACCTCATTTTCATGGTTCAGTGGTTATAGTTAAGTTTTTGTGTATTGGTCTGTTTTTCTTATACTGTATGCCATAGGTCTACTATATTTGGTGTATGGAATGATTGTAAGGTGTACATGTCTAGCGGGCAGGTGTCATCTGACCTTGACCTCATTTTCATGGTTCAGTGGTCAAAGTTAAGTTTTTGAGTTTTGGTCTTTTTTTCTAATACTATGTGCAATAGTTCAACTATATTTGGTATGTGCGTACCTTGCAAGGTCCTCATGCCCGTCAGACAGTTTTCACTTGACCTCGACCTCATTTCATGGATCAATGAACAAGGTTAAGTTTTGGTGGTCAAGTCCATATCTCAGATACTATAAGCAATAGGTCTAGTATATTTGGTGTATGGAAGGACTGTAAGGTGTACATGTCCAACTGGCAGGTGTCATCTGACCTTGACCTCATTTTCATGGTTCAGTGGTTATAGATAAGTTTTTGTGTTGTGGTCTGTTTTTCTTATATTATATGCAATAGTTCAACTATATTTTGTGTATGGAAATATTTTATGATCTATTTGGCAGTCACGCAGGTTTTATTTGACCTTGACCTCATTTTCAAGGTTCATTGCTCAGTTTTAAGTTTTTGTGTTTTGGTCTGTTTTTCTTATACTATAAGCAATAGGTCAACTCTATTTGTTGTATGGAAGAATTGTTAGCTGTACATGCCTGCCTAGCATGGTTCATCTGACCTTGACCTCATTTTCATGGTTCATTGGTCAATGTTTAGTTTACTTGGTTAATGTTAAGTTTATGTGACAGTTGTAATAAAGCTTTATATTTAGGATTATCAACATAATATCAATGATTAGTAAAGAAGGCGAGACATTTCAGCGTGTGCACTCTTGTTTTAAATGTAAACTTTTAAATCTTAAGTTGAAAATAGGATTAAATATATATACCATACAGTGTGGTATCTACTGGAAAGGTGTAGGTGTAAAAGAAATAGTACTTGATTATAAGACTTGATTTAACGCTAGGAGAATTTGAATATTTCAGGTTGATACCATACAGTGTGGTATCTACTGGTAAAGATGTAGGTGTAATAGAAATAGTACGAGATTCCTCCACTATTATGAGTATACAACAGAAGAATGGTATACGTGCAGCAGTACAGATGGATTCTCTAGGATTATACAACTGGATAATGTACCATAACAAAGATAGGTAGGTACTATAGATAAACTCATAGATACCAGGCTTAAAATTTTGTATGCCAAATGTACGTTCATCTACGAAAGACTCGGTAGATTGTGTATAGATTCATCTAGAGCCAAACATCATTTTCTGTACAAATTGGAAAGTGTGGAGTGTAGAAAGTGCCGTAAATTTTGTGTAGGTTTGTTAAAGGTTTTACACCGTTGTGCACTTTTACAATCACCTTGGTTTTCTCCTGCTAGTTTATTCATTTCCTTTGTGGAAGGTCATGAGTTCAGTGCTTTGTCACATCAAACCAAAGACCATAAAAAAAATAACTCCATTAATTACATGTTATTTAGAAGTAAAAACTAGGACTGGTCCACTCAGAATTAAAGTGATAAGTCCTGGAATGATAACTTTGTGAGTAAATGTGTCTAATATCAATTTCAGTGGGTCAATTTCATTATTTCTTCAGAGAAGAGCAAGCTATATCTAACTTCATGCAATTATTATTTCCGAGAAGAACAAGCTGTATCTATAAACTTCACAATTATCTTTTCAGAGAAGAACAAGCTATATCTATAAACCTCACAATTATTTTTTCAAAGGAGAACAAGCTATATTTTACTTCACGATTATTTTTTCAGAGAAGAATAAGCTATATCTAACTTCACCATTATTTTTTCAGAAAAGAACAAGCTATATCTAACTCCATGATTATCTTTTCAGATAAGAACAAGCTATATCTAACTCCATGATTATTTCTTCAGAGAAGAACAAGCTATATCTAACTCCATGATTATTTTTCAGAGAAGAACAAGCTATATCAAACTTCACAAGATCATGTGCTGGTTACTGTGTTGCAACCTTTATATTGGGTATTAAAGACAGACATAGTGGAAATATAATGGTCAGGAAAAATGGACAGGTACATATAAAAGCACATACAATTTGGATTCATTAATATACTTGGAATACCAGGTTTTTGTGTATCTTTATGATTGAGGGAAACCATAATTTAAATACTTTGTGGAAAGCAAAATGAAAATCAGTTACATTGATAAGAGTAAATGGCAGAACCACAAAATTAATTTCCCTAAAATAGCAATTCGCTCCAACCATGAAAGTTGTTACCAACTAAATAAATCAATTTATAGAATAGTTTATAATGTTCACTTTTGAACTTAATTTAAAGCTAAAATTTTTGAAACTGAACATATATATATTTCATTTTGCATATTAAGAAAAGGAAAAAAAATTGTGTTAAGGTGATACCTTTTCATTGTTTTGATTTTGCCAAAAGAAAAATAAGTATGAGTTCTCCTATTTTTAACTTCTCATTTTGTTTGGTCTCCCCTTAATCTATAAGTGTGCTGATGCTGAAATTTGATGCAGAGTTCCGCTTTCATCATTTTGTAAGATACTTATTGTTTTCTGGTAATGAAATCTTATAAGTTATAGTTTTAACATTAATGTTGTCTTATTTTTTCAAAAGTAGCAAATATGGAATAAGTTGTAGAACTTTGCATGGATAGAAGGGTGAATATACCATGCTTCTTGGCCTTTCTGGAAGGGTCCACCTAAAAAAAATTGCATAGGCAGGGCATAATATTCCCTGTATTTTCGAACAGATATAGAGAGAAATGTTTTGTTTTTATAAAAAAAAAACTTCTTTAAAAAAAACTATGCAGTAAAACCTGAGGAATGAAAAAAAGATTTGGTATGACAATATAAAATATATTAGGTCTTGATGCTTGTCTCAATCGTACATCAGCCTCAAAATGAATGTTTTTATACAAAATAGCTTGTTTAACTTAACAGGTATTCCATATAGATTTTGGACACTTTTTGGATCATAGGAAAAAGAAATTTGGAATAACTCGAGAAAGAGTACCATTTGTGTTGACAATGGACTTTATAAGAGTGATCGCTAGAGGATCAGACCAACCACTCAAGCACAAAGAATTTAAAAAGTAAGTTTAAGTTAATATTTAAATGATTGGCCTGTATTATCTTTGAACTTACTTTTTGATCTTTTCTGTCTACAGAAGTCATAATTGTGGTTACTGTAAATTCAGAAATTTTGCCATTTTTTTTACTATTGCAAAATGGAGACAAGATAGGTGTCACACAAATAAGTTGTAGGGTATTGAAACATTAAGTTGTAGGGATGAGGATGTGAAAAAGCTACTCTTGCACACCCAAGGAAAATTATTTAATTGTTACAAGAAGAAAGAAGAAATATGAATTTTTGATTCTATTTGTTGACGTTTTCGTATTCACTTTTTTTTTTAATTTATTTCTGTCAGTTTCGTTGTATGTGCAAAAGAATTAACCACTAGCTACCAATGTTAGAAAATCCTAATACATTAAAAAGATATCGGGAATCAACAACAGTACAATAGACTACATAAACACCTAACTCCTCCAAAAAACCCACTAACAGACTAACTACAACGATCAATACATGGTCCAGATAGCCAGAATCTGTACAGACACACAAAGTGATTAGGTTAAACCAGTTTTACATGCACACAAATCTCCCACTTTGGATATATAGACCATTTGTCGTAAAAAGTAAAACATACAATAAAAACTTGCACCTCCAGCTACCAAAAGGATGACCACTAACTTGAGCTAGGAAATAAAAGATTGCATATAATTTAAAATGCATGGTCAAAATGTACTTGCTTCATCAAATTTAAACCTAGTATGCATATTCATTTTAATGGGAAATGTTCAAAGTACATGCCAAATTAAGGTTTGCAATTCCATTAACATCGAAATATGATAGTGTGGAAAGGTCATGGTGTCCTATAGGTCTTGTTTAATTGTAAATATTTATTTCTTTTTTTTCAGATTTCAGCAGCTGTGCTGTGAAGCCTATTTAATTATCCGTAAAAATGCATATTTATTCATAAATCTTATGACAATGATGTTGTCGTGTGGTATTCCAGAGTTACAATCTCTGGATGATATTAGTTACCTACGAAAAACATTAGCGGTGGAAGAGAAAGATGATGAAAAAGCCTTAAAATATTTCATAGCAAAGTTCAATAGTGCTTATTCCGATGCCTGGACGGTCAAAACTGATTGGTTGTTCCATTATATGAAAAACAGATGAGCCAATGACAGAAGAGTTTAGAGGAAACGTGCAATAGAAAAGAGTCTATAAATAGACACCACACCAAGGAACTTTGTTGAGCGTAGAAACTGCTGTTGGAGTTAGAATTCTTCACATTTCTATAACAACGATTTCTCAGCTGATGGTTGTACTCAAATAGAAAATACTGTGCATACATACAAGGGACCATAAATGTTGATATGATTATACTTTTGTTTAAGATGTTTTTCATGAGAAAAAGTGCTCCTTTTTTGACAGAAAGGATATTTGCCTATGTTTCCATATTGTCTAAAATCCTTAATTATTATTCTTTTTTAATCAAGTTTGATGAAATCATATTTTTGCCCATTTAAGTTGTCAATTTCTGTTATGTGAAAATTTTCAGTGAAAAATTAAACAATAAGGGGAAGCACAAGAGCAAGTCGTAAAAACAGAAAAAAGTATGTTTTATGTCAATTTGTCTTAGATAAAAACAAGCTGCTTAAGTGATATTATTACATTTTATCATTGTTCCTTCCAGGCCTTTTTATTAAGTATTTTTGTTCCACAGTGCTTTTTTCTTCTACCTCAGTGGGATATTATTAGTTACACAGTGTGCTAGTGACCTAATACGATATATATGGGGTCAGTAAATTCCATATGGGGTTCGAGCGAAGAAGTTTTATAAAGGGACTTAACACCACTACTAAATGTGTACTAAAATAAACCATGCCTACTAACCCCATGTGAAATATACAGGGTCCCCATGCGGTTGTTCTTAACCAATGATTTTCCTAGAAATGTATAGGAGGTAAGATCATTTCTGGTACAGTACTTTTTTCCAAATTCCATCTACAAGTGTGTGGAGTTCTTTCTGATTCACTTTTTAAAACTTTTATAATAACCAAGAAAAGAATTATAAATAGAGTTAACAATTTAAAACACTAAATACTCAAAATAGGACCACATGGATGTTATAAACTTCGGGGAGAAATGTGGTGAATTTTCACTGAAGAATGTTTTCTCTTGTTTTTTTTTTTAATAATGAATAGACTGTTGTTTGAGATATTGCAAATATACTGAAAAGATGTGTAGCCCAGTTTCAGGAAATGTGAGAATAATTCACCAAATGATTATTTCTCCTTCCCTCAAAAATATGTACTCAATTAATATATATAATTGCTAGTATCATTCTCTTTAAAACTAATGGATTCTAAATGAATTCAATGCATACATGTACTTTGTTTCTTTTATATGATAAAAGGGAGAACAGTTTCTTAGACCAAAAAATGGTCCAAAATATTTAATGAATCATCTCTCCTGAAAACTATGCTTAAAAATCCGAGGTAGGCTTTAAATGTATTTACCAATTAAAAAAGATTTAGATTTTGAGAAAATATTTAAATCGTGTCCTGTATGTCAATATGAATTAAATATTTTGGCATTAGTCAGTAAAAGGTTGGCTCTTTTGAATTTTCAAATTGTCCCATCTTCACTAGCCAAGGGTTACAATCCAGTCCCCGCCTCTCCACCCTTGGCAGATTAAGCCAACATTTGTGATTACAATGCTGTACCATCTAACGATAGATAAAAGTCACACCCATTCCGACTACGTCGTTCTTGACTAATGGCAGCAACTCTCTTCAGTGTGGAGGTGTAAAAATGGTTGTGTCTAGTGTTTCGTGAAGCAGGAACCGAAAATATACATTGACATTCCAACATTTCCACTAGAAACATACCCAGATTGTTGATTAAGAACTCTAAAATTGTCACAAAATATCGTCCTATGTTTTGGGGGTAAAGACTTGTTGCACAATCAGCACATGTTTATTTACATTTTCTACATTTACACGTGATCATCTTAAAGGCACTTTTTTATTGGATGCAGCCAGTTATAAATGGAAATCATTACCTCTTGGATCCAAAATTCTATAATCTGCCAAGGGTGGAGAGGACGGGACTGGATCGTATCTCTTAGCTAGCGAAGATGAAATTGTTTATCTATATCAGAAAAGGTATTCTCAAGTACATTTTAATGGTTTGTGCTATTTTTCAGCATTATCTCCAACACTTTTTGCTAAGGTTATAAGCTTGCTTTACAACTGAAATTTGGATAATCTTATGTTGCCATAAATCAAATATTTTTAAGAAAAAAGAATAGAAATTAATTTATTAAAGTTTTTTTTCAAGCCAGCTACCATTATTATGATTCAGTGATAGTAAAGTATAAAAACAGTGTCGCTTAAATTTTGTTGAACAATATGCTTTTTGAAGAAATAAAATCATAACCAGTCTTTTAGTGAATTGATGAACAAATTTAAGCCATATTGAGCAATACGAAAAAGACTTTTTGTATCATAACTAATTACAGCATGTCCCTTGTTTAGCATTATAAATGTGATGAAATATTGGAATATAAATAGCTGCTATAACATACAATTGTGAAAAACACTGTTTTAAGAATCATGTGTAAAAATTAATGGAATTTTGAAAGGTTGTCTTCTGGTGAACAGATATTTGAGGCATTTTGGTGCTTTTTGAAACAAATATATATACTATTGTTAAATGTTTGATATAAATATACACAAATTTAATATTTTTTAAAGTAATGTTGTTAAATTTCTGAATGTTTTTATATTCTTGGCTTCAATTAATGTTTTAGAAATTCTAAATTTCTATTTAAATGTCCTACCTGTGGAAATCGGGCATTTTATGTTTGTCTCACCTATGATCAAGATTGTCGTCCATGTAACCTTTTATAGATGTTTAATATGTTTTTGCATTAGCATCCCTGCATTTCCTTTTAGGATTATGTGATGCTCTCTACCCCCTTTTTATACTTCACTTTTTTGTCCTGATATGTATGTAATATTTGCCACTGGATGTAAAACACCAATCCATCCATTCACACATTCTTCAGTGACTTTGAAAGTTTCACATAAATATGATAAATCCTTTGGTCAAGATATCAAATGATGATTATATTTGTTTATAGGTTATGAAAACTTTCTATAACAAATTGTTCAAAACCTTTTTGACCTGCAACTTTTTTAAAGGAAAGATTGTGTCAGACTTAGATCTTCTTTTATTTGAATACATCATCATAGCTAGAAAATTGCAAAAATAAGTTGCAGAAAAGGAGACCCTTTAACACGGAAACAAGTATCTACAGAGGTAAATTGTTTTACAGTATCTGAAATCATAGTGTTAGTGTACTTTGTTGTAACTTGCAAATTATGGGATATCCCATGCAAATTTGTTTTCCCAGAATAGTTTCATGGGTATTCTTGGTAAATGTTAGCTTTTTTAAAAATTGAATTCAAAATTTATACTCAGCTATGTATATAGGTACAAGAGAACCATTTTCAAAATCAGATACTCTACCATATTTCTAATATAGTCACTTAATGTAAATGCTGGTTCATTTATGCAGCAAAGTTTTGTAGAATTTGATACATTTTTGCAACACATTAATATGGCTCTCTCTAAGTGTCAGAATAACCTGTCATAACATTAAGACATTCATCTCCACTGCAGATTTTCTACTGTTGTATTCTCAGGTTGTTTAATTTGTGTTACATTTCTGACATTCAAATAAGTAATGAAATACATCTTCATTGTTATTGTAAAATGAATGTTAAGAATATTATTGTTGATATACATGTATTTATATTTCTCATAGATTTGTATGATAACCACACATTTTATACATAAAAAATACAAACATTTCTGTAATTATTTTCTTTTGCCATTTTAAGTCCAGGTTTGGATTTAAATTTGGTTTTTTGGGGAGTTTTTACTTTTTCAATGTTTATATTATGTTTTGGACTTTCAAATATTTTGCCCTTGAGCATCACTTAAGAGACTACAATTGTCAAAATGTACAACTGGTGCAGTAAAATTGGTACCTTTAATCTTATAAATCACCCTAACATTATTTTCATAATTTGTGTCCATATTCATGCCAATGATCTCTTCCTCTCTTGCCAGTGGCGGATCCAGAACTTTTGATAAAGGGGGGCCAGCTCCAGTCATGCTTCAGTGATTCCCTATATAATCAACCAAATTTTTCCCACAAAAGGGGGGGCCCGGGCCCCCCAGGGCCCCCCTGGATCTGCCTATGCTTGCTTTGCTTACAGTTAGTATTCCTTACCAAGCCTGAGACTTTTAAGAGTAAGTTAAAACTGATTGTCTCATAGAATGACATACAATCAAACCTGAGAAACCCGACCTCACAAGAGAGGTGACCTTTATTTGAGGTTCAAACTGCCCAAATATTGCTACAGCAGGAAAAGAAGGAGGTGACTAAGACAGGTTTTCGATTAAAAGAGGTGACCTTTATAGCAGGTTTGATTGTATTTTCCTGCAGTCTATTATCTTGTGAGGTATCACATTCATTTTACAATTGCTGTAACTGTTTAAATCCAAAAATATTGTGGACCAGTATAATATACTGTAAAAAAAATCTTTATTACTTTGAGTCACTGTGTTAACTCTGATGTGTAAGGCTTCTCATTAGATTCCTACAGATGGACTACTGCTTAATCAACAAATCCCTAACCTTTGTTTTACTCTTTATTACTTTGAGTGTTAACCCTGATGTGAAATGCTTCTCATTAGATTCCTACAGGTGGACTACTGCTTAATCAACAAATCCCTAACCTTCGTTCAACTCTTTATTACTTTGAGTGTAAATCCTGATGTGAAAGGCTTCTCATAAGATTCCTACAGGTGGACTACTGCTTAATCAACAAATCCCTAACCTTCGTTCAACTCTTTATTACTTTGAGTGTTAACCCTGATGTGAAATGCTTCTCATTAGATTCCTGCAGGTGGACTACTACTTCCTCAACAAATCCCTAACCTTCTTTCAACTCTTTATTACTTTGAGTGTTAACTCGATGTGAAAGGCTTCTCATTAGATTCCTACAGGTGCACTACTACTTCCTCAATAATTCCCTAACCTTTGTTCAACTCTTTATTACTTTGAGTGTTAACCCTGATGTGAAAGGCTTCTCATTAGATTCCTACAGGTGGACTTCTACTTCCTCAATAAATCCCTAACCTTTGTTCAACTCTTTATTACTTTGAGTGTTAACCCTGATGTGAAAGGCTTCTCATTAGATTCCTACAGGTGGACTACTGCTTCTTCAATAAATCCCTAACCTTTGTTCAACTCTTTATTACTTTGAGTGTTAACCCTGATGTGAAAGACTTCTCATTAGATTCCTACATGTGGACTACTGCTTCCTCAATAAATCCCTAACATTTGTTCAACACTTAATTACTTTGAGTGTTAACCCTAATGTGAAATGATTCTCATTAGATTCCTACAGGTGGACTACTACTTCCTCAATAAATCCCTAACCTTTGTTCAACTCTTTATTACTTTGAGTGTTAACCCTGATGTGAAAGGCTTCTCATTAGATTCCTACAGGTGGACTACTACTTCCTCAATAAATCCCTAACCCTTGTTCAACTCTTTATTACTTTGAGTGTTAACCCTGATGTGAAAGGCTTCTCATTAGATTCCTGCAGGTGGACTACTACTTACTCAATAAATCCCTAACCTTTGTTCAACTCTTTATGACTTTGAGTGTTAACCCTGATGTGAAAGGCTTCTCATTAGATTCCTGCAGGTGGACTACTACTTACTTAATAAATCCCTAACCTTTATTAAACTCTTTATTACTTTGAGTCACTGTGTTAACTCTGATGTGAAATGCTTCTCATTAGATTCCTTCAGGTGGACTACTACTTACTCAATAAATCCCAATATTTACGATATTTAGAAATGGTTTTACTTATTTCTGATAAGTATATTCCTGTTGTTAAACTTTTTATTTTTGAAATTCTTGCCTTCATTGAAATATGAGACATCCCTGCAATTATTTAAACATAGAACCAACTAAGAAATGTACATTTATAGCAAACAATACAACAGAATACCACCAATTAGAGGAAATTAACAATTTGAAAGGAAACGTTATCTAGTTTGTAATAAGTTTGTGTATGATACAGAAGATTACCATGAGAAATCCTAAATTGAATACTTAATCTTCAAAAAGGAACAAATATAAAGTAATTACAAGAGTGCACATGCTAAAATGTCTTGCTTGCTTTACTTATCATGATTGAATTTATGTTGAAAGTCTGTAATATGAAGGTTTTACTACAGATAAGACATAAACCTAACATTATCAATGATCAATGTACATGTAGTCAAGGTCAGATGAACCTGCCAGTATACCTTACAATCATGCTATACACCAAAACAAAAGTTAACCATAGAATCTGATAAACGGACAAAACCATTAAAACTACATTGGCCAATGGACCATGGAAATGAGGTCAAGGTCATATGAATCCTGCCAGTCAGACATGTACACCTTTATCACTGATCCATTAAAAAGATATCAAAGGGACATTCAAGCTTACAAGTCGAAAATAAACTGACCATGCCATGGCTAAAAAAGAAATAAGGTCGGAGGTCAGGTCACCCTTGTCTGACAGACATGTAGACCTTGCAAGGAACCCATTTACCAAATATAGTTATGATATTACTCATAATAAAAGAGTATTTCACAACAAAAACTAAAACAATGTCAAGCAGTCGCTAAACCAAATATTAGGTTAAAAACGATTGACATATGACAGACGAAACTTCGTAAAATAAGACATCTACATACAAGGTATGAAGCATCCAGGTCTTTTACCTTCTGAAATATAAAGCTTTTATTAAACCGGAAATGTATCACATTTTGCGGCTTTCGTCGCAGACGAGACAACAACTAGAGGCGCTGAAGAGCCTGTGTCGTGCACCTAGGTCTATGTGCATCTTCAACAATGGACACTCCCCAACATTGTGGACAAGAATAGAGTTCATGACAAAAATCTCTTTTTTGTTGATCTTGTATTGCTGCTATTTCTTTTCTGTTGAAAGTTTTTCTCTTTCTTCTTTTGCCCAAAACAAAAAAAGTGTAAAAAAAATTGCGATTTAAGAGCAATAAAGGGTCGTCAGACGATTTCAACAAAGTGAACTGATTTATAGATCTTGTCTTGCTGATCATTTTCGTTTATTTAAGTTTCCATCTATCTATTACAATTTTTGAGATATTAGGCAAATACGCAAAAAAATATTAAAATCGTCATTAAAGGGCAATAACTCCAATAAGGTGTCGTCTGACGATTAAGACCATGTTGACATATTTTAGATCTTGTCTTGCTGATCATTTTTGCTGTTTAAAGTTTCTCTCTATCTATTATTATTTTCAAAATATTAGGCAAAAAATGAAAAATATTGGTAAAATTCTTTGATTAAGAGCAATAACTCCTATAAAAAGTCGTCTGACAGTTTTGAATTTGTAAAGGATAATTGGTAAATCTCATCATTCTGAACAATTCTGCCCCGTCAGATTACTCTATTCATAGTGGTTTTCAAGATAATAGACGAAATTTTCATTTTACTCCTATGTTCAATTTCTAGCCATGTCGGTCATGAGGAGGAGAACATTTTTGTAAAAGTTAACGACGACGGACGACGGATGCCAAGTGATGAGAAAAGCTCACTTGGACCTCTGGGCCAGGTGAGCTAAAAAGCTTACATCATAGAATTAATGTAATTTCTCAATTTTTATCAAAAATTGAAATGTATAGATAACATCACTATATAAAAGAGAGACGAAAAGTTACCAAAGGGACATTCAAACTCATAAGTTGAAAAATTTGAGGATTTCTGTTTGATAGATTTTGATGCAATGTAGTATACCGAGTAGAGAGAAATTACAATCATAATCTGTCAACGAAGTCAAATAGATTCTCAAAGAAACGTAGCTTGTTCAAGACTTCCAAGGTATTTGAAATACCTCCGATATAGTTCATACACTTTTAACATAAAATGATTACGAGATACTTGACAGTTCTAACAGCACTAGTCAGAGAAGAAAGACATTTGTATTTGAAATTCAAAATATTCCGGACGCACGAACAAAGCGTAGACTGTATTCTCCAGAAATTCATTATCAGGGAGCATAAAACTCAAATGAATGAGAACAATCAAAATGTTCAAGTCGAAAACAACACTGTGGCCAAAATAAAAAGGACGAAAAGACAAACAACAAACTACAAAGCATCAAACATCACATCTATAAACATATGATTGAGTTATGCCAATCCCAATAAAACTATTCCAAGAGTTACTCTAGTGGGAGTAAGCAGTTCCGTCGCCAGAAGCAACTATTGCATTACTCAGGATAAAATTGATAATCGAAGAAAAAAGCATCGATAAAAGCAGATTTATACAATGTACATCAAAAGGTAAAAGTCAATTCTTCCCTCACCCAAATGGATGATAGAATATGAAAGCTGGATAGGCGGATATGCAATTAAGATATAAAAACTATAAAGGTGGAGCTTTCTATTATAGATTGATTGTTGTTTGCTTAACAGTTCCAATGGCAAATAGTTCATGCAATTCTAAGACTGAGAACAAATAATCGATTCATACAATAGGTAAATTCTGTACAGATGATTGACCGGAATGAGGACTAGATTTCAACTGCGCCACAGGAAAATTAGGGTATGTAGGATAAGAGACCGAAATTAAACTTTTCAAAAGTTTTTTAAAGTGCAGAGCGTCTGGCGATTTCTCCACACGATGCATCAGGTTTAATGTGGATTCACTTTAGCAAGAATGTTACTGATGGACGGGAGAAGTCCAAGGGGTGACTA